GCTTGAGCAACGCATCCTCGGAGATGGTTGCTATCAAATTTTGGTTTGGATGATGAGCAAGGCCCAGTACTTGCTTCTCGCTAACCTGAAAGGTAATGAAATTCATCTCTTAAATAGAGGAAATATGTAACTTAAAGCTCTCTAGAAGTTCCTTAATATTGAAAAAAAGCAAAAGAAAACTCTCTTACAGGAAGCGTATTTTCCAAAACGCCAGTTAATAAGGGGAAGCAATACAATACACCATCTTCGGCCACGGCATATGTCCATTCGCCACGTGGAGACACAGTGCATGCTATAAATTCACCCTCCGCTCCACGTTTTCCTGATGTCATGGATCTAACCACCTGCAAGCAGCTGTGCAATCAGAAAAGGAGATACCTATAGAAATGAACAAGCTTTTACAAACCTGTCCTTGTGGATTCACAATATACAGAGTGTTAGAACGATTGCATACAATAATCTGATCTGTTTTGGGAATTGGAGTAACTGAATTCACAGCTGTGTCACCAGCTATACGGAAAGTTGTGGCACACTCCGCGGTTTTAAGATTCCATATTCGAAGTGTACCATCAGCTGAACAGGATACCTGAAGTACACTGTCTTGAAGTTCGATCACAGAAAAAAAACCCTGAATTTAGCTTGAAAACGCTAAAGTGAAGTTATGGGAACTGATGAAGAAATGCTAAGTTGCAACAACGAGCAAACAAAGGTATTGGACTGGGTCTTGTGCACTGATTCCGAGAAACCTTACACCATAAGGATTAGCTGCTCCATAGAAAGAAAAAGAAAATCGTCATAGCATCAAACTGAGCTGAAATAACGAGACCATAACGAAGGGACAAGTTTCAGGAATCGCGAACTATCCAATTTGACTGGACTATGTATGCAATATGTGAACTCCAGCACTAATCGGCAAAATGCGATGCAACAGTTTCGATTAGAGAGTGTCTAACAATTGAAATCAGTCAACTCCAACGTCACCAGCAGTGGAAAAGATAAGAGGCCTAATGCTGATCGTACTCTGATATGACACTTACTTGATCCCACAATTTTCGACAGTTGAAAACCAAGGTCTGAAGGATGGAAAACTTTCAGGCTTGGGCCTTCTAAGCTCAAGAACAAGAATAATTCTCCGAACTGTGATGGCCACGCTCGACAATGCTTTGTTTTTCATTAACTTCTTAGCTACACTCGAATGCGATAGTTATATTTGAGAGGAGATTAACAGCACGTACCGCTTGGTTCGTTTCTTCCAGATAACGAACATCTGTAACAAAGGACGTGTGCCCTCGCAGTTCTTTGAGACATTTTCCGCTTTTCAATCCGTGAACTCTGGAACAACGCATGAATAAGTCATGGGATAATGTACAGGGTGGGCCAAAATTATGATTACAGCGCGCGCTGACGTTCATTGCAAATTTTTTCTATGTTTATAACAATTCATTGAATTTCTTCCATTTCACAAAGTAGCTTACGTTATTACCTTTCTAATGATACTAAACTTTGGGTAGATTTTTAACATAATATAAGCGTAACTAGTCC